CTTCCTTTTCCCTTTTCAATAGGGTCTTTCACTGAACCCGGTACTGCCCATTTTTCAGCTAGACTGGCAGCCAGCAGGCCCCAGCAACCCTCCCGGATCTCCTGTTCCCCACACAGCACCAGTGTGCACTGCCATGCCTGGCTTTTCCCACGAGCGTTGGGGATTCCCAACACTACTCCTCATTCTTGAGCTTATGTACCAAGTGCTTTTATCCACGGAGACTCCTCAGATCAAAGCTGTCAAATTTGTAAACCATTTTAAATTAAAAAAATGACTTGTAAATACAGAAGCATCCAATAAGCTCAGGATATTCTGATAAATGGAAGATATTAAGATTCTAATTCTGCATATCCGCATTTATATTTATTTGAGACGAAATACTTTTGAAATTCCCATCTGTTTGCCTTTGTTTGGATTTTCTTTCTTTTTACAAGTGAAAAAAACTTACCAAATTATTTCTAGTTATGATTTTTCAAAATGTGATATTGTGAAATCTAGTACAAATATAATTTTATCATGTAAAAAAAGAGCATCAAGCCGAGCATGGTGGCTCATGACTGTGACCCCAGCACTTAGGAGATGAGTCGGGGGCATCATAAAGATTTCCAGGACAGCCTGGTCTGTGGAGTGAGACACAAACTCAGAAAAATGAAATGAAATAAATTAGAAGTGTTCCATCAAAAGCCTCTTTCCATAAGCCAAGTGTATGAACGTCCAATTACAGAATTCCAAAACTATTTTAGACAACATGAGCTCTTATTGTTTAATTTTCTGGCTCATTCTTTCTTTTGGTGAGGATAAATTCCAATGTCTTCTTGTTTATAATATATTTTCTATAATTGTAACCAATTTTTCCATTTGCTGAATAACTTAATTAAAACCATGTCCTGCTTCTGAATGCACTGCAATCAATTCCATAGCCTCTTCGCAAACTAGCCCACAGCACTATAGGGAAACTTTGCATTCTAAATTGAAGGGGGGAGGGTCAAGATCATTATGGGGAACCCACAGATACCTGATCAAAGCTTGTGGAAGCTCACTGACTCTAGACAGGGAGCCTGCGTGGAACTGTCCTAGACCCTCTTCATCTGGGTGACAGTTGTGTAGCTTGGTCTCTGTGGGGCCCCCTAGCAGTGCGATCAGGACCTGTCCCTGATACATGAGCTGATTCTTTGGAACCTATCCCCATGCTCTGTTGATTCCCATGGAAGGCCTGAACAGAGATGGATGAGGAGTAAATAGGGGGTGGTATAGAAGAGAGATTGGTGGGAGGGAACAGGAGGAGAAGCAGGAGGAGAAACTGTGTTTGGTATGTAAAATAAATTTTAAAATGATGAATAAAGAAAGAGAAAAATGAAAAACAGAAACAAAAAAGGTCTTGACTATCATGCATAAGATAATTTCATAGTTTAATTGCAAATTCGTCTTTAGATATTGTCTGTCACACACACACACACACACACACACACACACTGTTTTTATCTATAGGAAAGTATGCATACATTTTGACCAATTTTTTTATGGAAATAAAATGGCAGATTTATTAACTGAATCACACAATTTCTTCACTACAGATTTTATTTTAGTAAAAACAATGTTTTTCTGTGATCTTTTGCTTTACCTATGTGTAGTCATATTGTCACTTGTAGTCACAATACCCATATTTTTGAAGATTTGTTATATTTTTAAGTGTGTTTGTATGTGTGTGTGCATGTGTGTGTGTGTACGAGAGAGAGAAAGAGAGAGAGAGGGAGAGAGACTCTAGGTGTACACAGAGGCCAGAAGAGTGTATTGGAAACCCTGAATTTGGAGTTACCAGTGACTGAGAACCCCTGAACAAGAGTGAAACATAATTCATCTGCAAAAGCAATATGTGTCTTAACGGCTAACCCATCCTTCAAGCCTTAGAACCTTGAATTTTTAAGTTGGTTATGGAAACACCATGAGATCAGAAAATCAAGTTTTAATAATCAATTTACCCAAATTAGTTTGTTTCTGCAATTTTGATTTAAACATTTATTATTAGGGTGAACTGGCATTCCATATTTGCTTTATCTATTGACAGACACACTCATCATTTAACTGCAAAACCTTTATGGATGGTGTCACCTCATTAGTAGCCATTGCTTTTATATGTTTTACAGAGTCAAGGAACCTTGGAAATAAGGTTGAGTGAAATTAATGGAGGGCAACTGGCATCTGATGTCTGCGGACAATCTTGCTGTTTGGAGTGGTTCATAAACACGCTTTAAGCAGCTATGTGTACCCAATCACCTGCCTTGAGCAATCTTTTTAAAACAATGACTAATGTTTTCTGATGTGAATGTTGCTGCTTCTTCAGCAAATTTCAGTTGGTTTGTGATCAGTGCTGGCTGTGTTAAGGTCCCTATGGTACATGGGGTAAGTATTCTGATTTTCATATGTTTGTCATCTACTTTCCTGAGAAGAAGAAAAATCAATACTTACATTATGTGTATTCTTTCAGCCTTTATGTCTGAAGGGTTTATTGCAAAATAAGACTAAGCATAACCAAATAGTAACAAGAGTGGCAGATATATAACATCTAACAAGTAGCGTGACTGCTGCTGTAGGAACAAGTAGGAACAGGCAGAAGGCCCCAAGCAAAGCTGCCAGTCTCTAGTGCCCACACACATTTCATTCGCATGTAATCTGTAAATCCTTCTATGTCCCACCAACTCCACTGATGGACACCCTGGTAGCCTCATGCTTCTCATAGGTCATAGAGTGTGCCACTCAGCATAGGCCATGGCACAGCTAGCCTGTGATGGAAGGGTCTGCAGTATCAACTACACCTCCAAGGGCCACCAGAACAATGAGGGGACATTTGTAGCTACTGAGGACCATGTATCCTCACTGTATCAGCCAGTGCCTGCATGTGGCTCTCCAAAGTGCTAGGGAAGGAAACAGGCTGCATTTCAGTTTACTGTGCTGCACTAATGAACGCAGTCAAGGCCATGAAAGAGATGGCATTAGAGGTTGAACTCCTGGGTTTCAAATTTGGTTTCATTGTCATCTGTATCTCCAGATACCTTCCCTCCTTCTCCTCCTCTATATGACTCTTCACAGCAGCTTAATCACTCACCATTTTCTAAATATGTTTGCCATTTTCTACTAATGCCAAGAGGAAAGAAAATTCTAAAGAACATCTTTGCCCAACCTGGAACATGCTTGTCAAAATATTACGGATGACTTAAAGGTACACAGTATCTCATAGTCCTTCCTTGATCGCTATCTGAAATGTTCTCCTGAAGGGTTTGCGGAGGCATAGAAGTGCTCTAACAGGGAGCAGACATACGCCTTCACTTCAAGGAGAGATGTTACCGTGAGCTTGGGAGGGTCAGATGATCATTTCCTCGTCACTCTGCCCAACAGTGCCACACAGCACCTTCCTCTGTAAGCACACTGCTGCTCATACCTATTTTTTAGGACAAACTGATAAACTCCCAATGATCCCTACTAAAGTGAAAACGTGTACAGCGTTCTGGAGAAAGAAGACATTATCACAGTGTACTGGGGATGTTGAACCACAGGGAAAGATAGAATTTAAACCCAACCAAATCCTTTCATTCACCTTTTCATAAGATCAGCTCATTGCCTAAATTTTGGACCCACATGCATACTAAATAAGAATGATTTTTTTCCCTTTCTATAACTCTAACACACAATAAAAATGAGGATTCAATAAATATAGAAAGTGTGTGTGCGTGGCCCATGTGGGTGTGCCTCAAATAAACCTTTTACAAAGACTAACAGCAATGACCAGCTGCAGGGGGGACAGGAGGTTTGGAGGAGTATGTAAACAACCCTCCATGCTTGCCCTATAGTCCTCAATTGTTCTAATATTTTTATAACATGTAATATATGTAAAATTACAAAAATGGTCATTTAAAAAATGAATTCTTAAGCTACATAGCACTATGCATTGATACATAAACCTCTTTCGAGGAGTTATGTACAAACTCAAGACATGAAGAAAACAGAATTTAGGTTGAATATTTTTCATATGGCATTCTCTGTAGACATTAAAAGACATTTCCTACGTGTATGTATGTATATGTATACACACGTGCACAAATGATCATGGAGCGTGTGAAATGATCAGACCTGCAGATCCAAAGTACCAGGATCTCCATAACACAAGGCAATAATAAGATATACAAGAGGAGCCCATGAGGGCCCGGTTTTGATAGTGTAGCAGAAGCCAGAGAGGCCTTAAACCAGACCAGTGACTCTTCGCAATGAACACTTGAAGTAAAGATGTGCAGACTAAAGGGTACCCTCTGTGTCTCACTGGGCCACACAGCTGCCATGCCTAGATTTGTTGTTTTGTTTTGCATTTGCCTTTTGCAGGGGGGGGTCATTTAAATTTTGTTTTAGGGGAAGTTGCAAGGGCAGAGGGAAGGAACAAGGAGGACAGAAGCAATGGGACCAGGGTGCATGACATAAAATCCACAAAGAATCAATAAAAAAGTTAGTAAAAGAAAAAAGAAAAGATTTTCTAAAGGAGTAAAGTGAAAACACTGAAAATGTAGATGTTGTCTAAGTTCTTTGGCGATCACATACTTCTCACATAAAATGCTTACAATTTAAAAAACTAAATTTATAGATTTATGATTTAAAAATCCATTATTATGGAAATCAAGACAGCTATTAAAATATTTAATTCTTTAAGGACCAAGGAAGTACCGGCCATAAAACAAAATGAAAGACTACATGAAAAGCAGAGAGACTGAAAGGGTGAAGATTAAAAAATTAATTCTGTCTGCTCAGTGCTACTGAAGGACCTCGGCAAATGTCTGTAAACCCATTTGGAAACACATGTAGAGTTTACATAATTACAATGAACCTGAAGGCGGATTCAGCATTTATATATCTCCTGGGAAGCACCGTGAGTCAGAAACATAAAACCAAAGTACCAGGGGGTTATTAAAATACTATTTCCTGTTGTACTGTAGAACTGTAGAAGAGAACAAACATACCGATTACTTGCATGGCCGGTTCGACGTCTGTTGTGGCCTCTTCCAACAAGGACAGTAGCTTGGCTGATATCTGGTGCACGGACTCGATGTTGCTGAACAAGACGTCCACATCCAGCCTGTCAACCTAGAGAAGCAAAAGCAGGGAGCATCAGCAAATGGGAAGAGAAGTACCGTGTGCACCACACCGCCTCCTGCGAAACAGCAAAGATTTGATCTACCAGACCATGGCGCTTACCCTCACCCAGCTCCGTGAACATGCTCATGTAGGGTTTTTAAATGTAAATGTATAGCTCACGAAGATGTCTGTCTTGTACCTCTGCCTTAAATACCATCAACAAAAACGTTCGATTTGAGTGTACAGCAGTGTTTCTCAATATAAACTGGACTGGGAAGATTTAGACCTAATGGTTATTTTTATTAACTGCTCTCTATGAAGGTGTGTACCACTGAACTTAGAATATTTTACTGTCGGGTTGAAGAGATGGCTTAGGAATGAAGAGCACTTGCTGCTCTTCTGGAAGACCGGAGTTCAAATGCAAGCACCCATCCAGACTGCCCATAACTTTCTGTAACTCCAGCTCCAGGGGATCTGACTCCTTCTTCTGACCTCTCTGGGTGCATGAATAACATGTGTCATAACACACAAAAACACAAAAGAAAGTTTAGCTTTCACAGCAGAAATCAGACCATATCTTTTTCAAATAACTATTTCCAAAGCTGTTTTAAACCACAGATGTCCTAGAAGTAATGGCAAATAAATGTGCTGGGGTACTTTGTGCACGTTTCCTATCAAATAAGTATACTAATTAAGAGTTTGTCATATGTTATAGTTCCAGGCATATTCTCAAAGATCAGTGTGATAATAATTATATCCTATATATGATTATGATAGAATTTTGTTTATTCATCTTTCATTAGAAATTTCCGAGGTGTCCTCTGTGTCCTAAGAAATGCAACAGAACACATCCTATCATAGAAAGTGACTACTAGGGGGAGGGATAGCTGACTATGTTCAATAATCTGAGTAAGAAATATTTATTCTTTCATAATTAAATTATGTTTACTCAGGACACAACCACATTGGTGTAGGACCAGCTAAGGTTAGCATATAACAAAGAACAGGAATTAATGCCGTTTGTCTATGATTTATTGTGCTTGAGGTCATGGACAGGAAGCCAGGTGTAGGGCTGTCTGGGGCTTCTGTTTTCTGTATTATGAAGCATATTTAGTATTGTACAAAAATACGTGGAAGCACGTAACAGCTACTGGCTCATGTTAGTTAATATGTATGAAATTATCATTTAATAATTTATTATCATCTAGTCAAAACCATACAGATCTATTGTAGTACTTATCTTAAAAATTTGCCTACTATGACAGGTAGAAATAAAATGTGACTTATTTTAAATGTATTGATTATTATTTCTTTGAGTTATATCCTGTGAGGTGTGACAGTTTAATTTCCTCATTACCTGCTTTATAAGATAGTGATTAGATGTACTTTATACAGTGTGCCCATGTTTTTTTTTTATTGTGCTGTGCAATATTTTTATTTGTTTGAAGTGATTTAATTTTTTTCTTTCATATACCTCTCCATCTTCTCTGTGGAGTAGGAACCATCTTGAAGAGATGCATAGTGAAGCTGTATATGGAGATGAAGACAGATCCAGCACTGTGACCTTGCAATCCTACACCATCATACACATCAACAAATGCCATTCACAAGTTAGTACTCTGTACTTCTGTTTTTGCTGACTTCCCACCAAGCTGTCACTTCTATCCTTTATTTGCCAAGGTCACTATCCTGTGTATCTAATTTAGATTATAAATCCACTTAGAAGAATCTAATACTGCATCCTATCTACAATCTTAGCTCAGTGCAACAGATTCTGAACAACAGAAACTTAGTTTTTAATTCCATTTCTTCCTGAAGGACAGAAAGGATTAAAACATCAATTGGCCTGGTTTCAATCCTATCACCATGGGCCCCTGGGGATTCTGTGAATCATAAAATGAATTCACATCCAGGCACGGCTGTGCCACAGAACAAACAAACATCTGGTCCAAACCGGCTTTTAAAAGTGATAGATGGTTTTACGATTACTGTTATAAATTCAGGGAAACATCCACATATATTTATTAATCATTTGCTCAAAACAGTTAACGTTCTAAGAGCATAAAATCAAATTCTGCTTTAAGTGAATTAAAATTTACTTTGGGAAAAGTTGAAGAAGGCAATATTCTAAGACAAATCAGTAGATTTATGAAACACAGAAATGAAAACTCACAGTTTATGCTCACAATTTAGTGTGTTGTTTTGCAGAAGTGTTCATTATGGGATATAATTTAAATAGAATGTTCCCATCACATTCAACCCATTACTAGGATTTAGAACCAGGTAGTGTGGTAACTCCATTTGCTCTTTGGGTTAAGGGTGCTTTGGCTACCCATGGTATTTATAGTTTCATAAAAATTTAGCTTTGCCTTTCATTTCTCTGAGAAAATATCTTTGGAGTTTTGATAAATATTGCTTTGTGTTGTATGGACATTTTAAGGACAGTATTTTCCTGTCCAGAAATACTTTCTGTCTTTCCATTTATCTCTGTCATCTTCAAATTCATACTAATATTTTAAAGTTTTCAGTGATTTTTAAATATGCCATAACATGTTAGTAAACAAACCAGTATAGTGCCAACATAAATCTAGGCACATATCCCACTAAGCAAAATAGGAAGCCTAGAAAGATACCTACACATTTATGGTAAATTGACTTCAACAAACAATGAAGAAATAACAGTCTCCTCATTAATGTGTTAGAAACACTGACCAATCACTTTGCAAAAATCAACTCTGATAAAACCACCATAGTTTAAAATGGACACAAGACTAGACACTTCTCTAAAGAAAGCACTGATATTCAGAAAGTATTTGTTGGAATCTCAACATAACAGGTCATTACAAAAAATGCAGAATAAAATCCCCAGTGACTTAACAGTTCACATTTATTAGGACAGTTATTATTGAAAGAACCCACAGACCCAAAGCTGCAGGATCTCCACAACACAGGGCAAAAACCAGGATATTAAAGAAGAGTCCTAGTGAGGGTCCAGCATCGATAGTGCAGTAGAAACCAGAGGCCTGGAACCAGACCAATGGCTCTTTGCAATGAACACTTGCAAGGAAAGATACATGAATGAAGGGGTCTACTGCATGATTCTCTGGTCACAGTGAAGCTTCTATGATGAGATTTCTATTTTCCCCCTTTTCTCTTAAATGTTTTTTGTTTGGGGAGAGGGTAATTGCAGGGGTAGAGAGTGGGTGCAAAGGGATGGGGAGATGGATGGGATCAAGATACACATCAAAGACACACAGAATGAATAAAAAGAAAAATAATGAGTTCTGTCATTTGTGACAATGCAGATGAACGTGGGCATCATAGTAACTGAAATAAAGTAGTCATAGCACAAATGCCTCATGGTTTACTTAGAAGGTATAGCAATGTCACACTTACAGAATGGAGAGTAAAATTATCCCAGAGGCTGGGGTTGATTGGACCTTTGGGAGTTCCTTGTCAAAGTTGTAAAATTTTGCTTTGAAGGAATAAGTTCAAGAGATCCATTGTTTATCATACATATTATGATATATACCTGAAAATTGTTGAGACAGTGCATTTTAAAATATTGAACTTGCACCTATATGTGTATGATATGTATGTATATTATGTCCAAATATAAAATTCTCAGTGAAGGAAAATAGATTTGTGAAATTAGATTAATTAAAAAATTATAGGAACTGATACAGAATTACCTTGTATCCCACAGAAACCTGAAGATTCATTCCTTGATTTTCCTGCTTTTACATCATGGTCCAAGCTCTTCCATTTACTCAAAAACACTTTGTCCTCACACAGCATGCTATCCAGTTAGATCAAATCTGGTAATACTTGTATTTGTCTAGGTGCTTTGCCCATGTCTCTGCCCTTTCTTTTGCCTCTGAGAGGACTGGCAAGAATCATAGATCCTTAGCACTACCTGATTCTGCTGGAATTCTCTGATCACTCCCCTCTTCTTGCTGTGGGAGGCATGCTACCTAGCTAATGAGTCAATCAGGGTATTACTAGGTTTATGTACTACAGTCTGAATGTTTACAGTGTCTCCCCTTCTCAATTCATATGTTCAAATATTACATTCTAAATAATTGGATTAGGAATGAGAGCTGTGGTGGTTTGAACTGAAAATGTCTCCCATAGGCTCAGATATTTGAACACTCGGTCCCCAGGTGGTGGTAATGCTGGAGGAGGCTATGGGACCCTTAGGAGGCAGAGCAGGCTTGGAATGCCGATAGCCTCACCTCATTTCCAGTTGTCTCTCTGGTTTGTTTCTGTATTAAAGATGCAGTGACTTGGCTTCCTCCTATGGCATGTCTTCCATGTTATGATGGACTCATCTTTTGAAACCATTAGTCAAAATAAGTTCTTTCTTCATAAGTCACTTTTGGTCATGGTGTTTTATTGTGTGTTTTTGTTTTTGAAATTACAACATAATAAATTATGTATAAGTGTTTTTTGTGTTTATTTTTATTTAAAGAATTTCATACAATATATTCTTTCCCCTCCCCTAATTCCTCCCAGAGTCTCCCCCATCTCCGTATTTACCTAACTCCAGGGTCATGGTGTTTTGTCACAGTAATAAAAAGGAAATATTACAAGGCCCTTGTGAAACTGTTCATTCATGGGGTGGTGACCCCCCCCCCATGAAGAAATTAGTAACTTTATTAGAGACCCAGGAGAGGCTCCTTGTATTTTGTTGTTGCTATGTAGAGTTGTAATTATGAGGCAACTGTCTAGGAAGGGCTCCATCACCATACATGGAATCTACTGGTGCCTTAATTCTGAATTTATAAATTTGTGGACTGCGAGAAACAAATTTCTCTTATTTAAGCCACTATTTATGGCATTTTGTTATCATAAATAGATAAAATGTAACTGCCTGTTTTTTGCCATCATCTTTGTGTAGAACAATGATATAGTAAACCCATGTAGAGAGGAAGGCCACATCTGACAACATCATGTTACCCCCTGGATCCATCCTTGCCAAAGCTAGAAATCCTTCCCATGTAAACCAC